AAAACCAAAATAAGTTTCTGTCCTTGGAATTTTGTGATGATGGAATCGTTTCATAAATGTGCATTTTTGAGCACTGTTCAAAATACATGCCAAATTATTTGTCTAGGTGGATTCCTTATGAGCATGTAATGATGTCAGTATTTTCATGTTGTCCTTGAAATAAATGTTGGGTTCTCCCCGTGAGTTCTTTTCTAGGCCTTGTTTCTAACTCAATGTGTAAATTGGAGTCTCATTTGACACCGTGTTTCCATTGGCAGCAGAGTTGGAATTGGGAAGAATCATCTCTATTCGTAGAGGTCCGTGTTTGTGCCATGAGATGAATGTATAGACATATATATGAATCTTTTGCTGCTTTATTCTGGAGCAGATTTTCCAAAATGATAACATGAAGTATAGGTGTAAAGGAGAAACATCTACCATCAAAATGTAGTTGCAGAGGCCCGTCTTTTCAACGATTTATTGTAAATGTATATTTATTTTCAATCATGAGAGTATCTCTTCTTCTTCTTTACTCTGAATAAGGCCGGTTGTAGACAATTTCTGCTAAAAATTTAGGAACTGATTTGTTATGCATAAGCTAAGCTTTGAATTGAAAGTCTGTCATGTTAGACTTAAGAAAAAATGCATAATCCTGGTGGCCTGGCGGTTAAGTGCGCGCGCTCTGCTTCAGAGGCCCTGGGTTCGCGGGTTCCGATCCCAGGTGCGGACGGACGCACCACTTACCAAGCCATGCTGTGGCAGCGTCCCATATAAAGTAGAGGAGGATGGGCACGGATGTTAGCCCAGGGCCAATCCTCCTAAGTAAAAAAAAGAGGAGGATTGGCAACGGATGTCAGCTCAGGGCTCATCTTCCTCACAAAAAAAAAAAAAAAGCATTACTGTCTGTAATCAGTAGTGTTTGCATTACGGGTAAGCTGTCATCCATTGTTAGAAGGAAACGAGGAGAAAGAGATCAAAATTCTTAGAGCCTGGAGTTTGTAGCCATGGAATACACATAGATACAAAAGTCTTCTGTGGGCTCTGAACCTGGTGGCATTCCTGACAGTCAAGAAAAGTTACTAAAGACAGCAAGTCTCAGAAGAAAAGATCTGCCCCAGGATGTCAGGATGTCGGAACGGCCTTGGAATCCCTGGGCCCCTGGAGTTGTGAAAAGTCTGTCTGTCGCTTGCCTCCTTATCCCATTTTCACTCTCTCAGGACTCTAAGGCTTTCCCACACTGCCTCAATGTCCTTCTTGGTTCAGTGGAGGAACAGAAATGAGCAGAATCTGCCACGTCACTGGTTAGGTGTACAGATGTGCATGGATAGTTCCAGCTGCAACAGTTAGCAGGGACCTGTCGATGCAATACTTTCCTTCCCTCCCCTCCTCTCGGTCCTCCCAAGGTGCTGCCTGGAACAAGAAGCTTCCTCTGTGCAGAAACAGGCCAGGGCTCCCTTTGCCCGGAGGACACTCCATGTCAGGTATCCTGCACCTGTCCATTTTGATGCCTTTACATGTGCTGTCAGCTTCCCTCACCTTTCTGTCACTGTCTCCAAAATCTACCCTCTTTCAAGGCCACATTAAGTGCCCTGGGCTCCAGGAAAAGCTTCCTTGAGCATCCACGCCTGAAGGAGAGCAAACAGTTCCAAGTCCTCTAGTACTTTGTTGCCTTATTTATGTGTCCCTCATATCGTCTACATCGCCACTCAAAGTGTGGTCCCATCTCCTGGGGGCTCGTTACAAATGTCTTAGAAACGCAGAACCTCAGGCCCCACCCTGGGGCTGCTGAATCAGACTCTGCCTGTTAACAAAACCGTGAGTGATTTGTCTGCACCTTCCAGCTTGAGAAGTGCTGGTCTACAAACATGTAAATGTCTTCAAGGTGGGAATGACATCTTTCAAGACCTACCCTCTGCCCAAAGTATCTAGCACAGTGTTTTGTGCACAGTACTTGCTCAGCAGATATTTACTGAAAGAGTAAATGTAAGCCCTCAACTCATGCATATGGCGGCTTCTTTGCACTCACCCCACCAATGCATTTAACTAATGGTATTTAGGCAGTAGTTCCTAGGTACAGACCTGAGTTGTAGCGATAATCAGATGGTTGCTATCTGTGCAGTCTGACTTTCTATATTCTAGATTTTACCTTTAAAAATTATGTACCCAGTGCTTTGGTGGGGTGGGAGGAGAAGAAAACAGTCCAGACCCTCCTTGAATGACTGCCACCCGCCTTGGGAGTCTGCAGTCCTCGTTTGGGGGACAGCTGTTGGCTCCAGTAGTGACCCCAAGTGACCCCAGCTAGAGCATTGGTGGGCCTCGCCTGGGGGCTTTCCTCACACCACCAGGTCGGCCCCCCTCCTCATCAACTGTGCACTTTTGGTTGTATCGGCTTGTGTGACACTCCTTCACTCTTTCTACTCTATTTCCTTTGCTTGCTGCCAACCCCTCCTCACCAGGACTCTAAATGTTGAGGGCCTGGGGTTCTGTCCTCCGTGGACATCTGTCCATGGGTCTTTTTTCTGTCTAGGTGGCCTCCTTCAGTCTCCTTACCTCCTCCAGTCTTTAAATACTCTCTGCTGCTGGTCACTGCACGTGCAGACCACCTTTCCCTGGGCACCCTCCTCCCACAGCCAGCTGCCCACTGGACCCTCCACTTGGATGGCCCCTTGGCCTCTCACACAGGACATGTCAAAACCTAAGCTCTGGGCCGGCCCCGTGGCTTAGCGGTTAAGTGCGCGCGCTCTGCTACTGGCAGCCTGGGTTTGGATCCCAGGCGTGCACCGACGCACCGCTTCTCCGGCCATGCTGAGGCTGCGTCCCACATACAGCAACTAGAAGGATGTGCAACTATGACATACAACTATCTACTGGGGCTTTGGGGGGGGAAAGGAGGAGGATTGGCAATAGATGTTAGCTCAGAGCCGATCTTCCTCAGCAAAAAGAGGATTAGCATGGATGTTAGCTCAGGGCTGATCTCCCTCTCACACACACACAAAAAACCTAAGCTCTCCGCCATGTGTCACCTACACCTTGGCTGTACATGGCTGAGTGTGAATCTTCGGCAGGGAAACTTATTTACAATCTATTATTACGTTGGAATATAATTGTCTAGACTTTTGAAACCAGTTGTTAACTGAACCAATTGCTTCATGTTTTTGTTAGGAGTGGTCATTTAATTTTGTTTATGGTTTTGACTTGCAATGAATAATTGCTTTATTAACCTACGGGTTCAGCTGTCCTTGGATCTAGGCGGAGATTTTAGGAAAATATCAAGCGGTTTCGGAACTGAGGTGCTGTGAGTTGCTTAGGACTCAGCTTTTTAACTAACCGAGGAAAAGCGTTTACTGCTTTCTGCCGACTTGGGAAGTAATTCTTAGGTTAGCCGTGGTATACAGTCGAGGAGCAGTGAAATTTCAAACTGTACGCTGATATGCTCGTAACCATTCGTTTTTTTCCACCAGTTTTCCTAGCAGATTGTAAAGGTAATGTCTTTTTGGTGTAAAACAGGGGTTGGCAAAACTTTTTTTTTGTAGCAAGCCAAGTATTAAATGTTTTTGGTTTTCTGGGCCAAATTACTCAATTCTCTCCTGTAGCATTATGTGAACAAGTGGGTGTGGCTGTATTCCAGTAAAATTTTATTTACTGAAAAAAAACCAGCTGGCTGGGTTTTGCTCATGGGCCATGGTTTGCCAAGCATTAGTACAGAAAACAGGCTGGGTTCATTGATGCCAAGTTGGGTTATTACTGTATAGGATAAACTAGGGTAAGGATTTAAAGATCAAGATTTTTCAGGGTAAAAGTTATAAAATGGATAATATTCAAGCTTTTAAGGAGTCAGTTAATACACATTCATACATATGTGTTTAGCAACAAGTAGTAAATATCTTACTATACACAGCATGGTATAACAATTTAACTAGGACTGTAATCAAAGAAATCAGATAATCATAAGTGTTAGCAAGAATGTAGAGAAATCGGAACCCTCATGCACCAATGGTGGAATGTAAAATGGTGCAGGTTCTTGAGAAAACAGTCTGATAGTTCCCCAGAATGTTCACTGTAGTTACCGTTTGACCCAGCAATTCCACTCCTAGGTATATGCCCCAAAGCAGTGAAGACACAGGCTCACACAAAAACTTGTACATCAGTGTTCATAGCAGCGTCATAGCCAAAAAGTAAAAACAACTCAAGTATCCATCAACTGATGAGTGAATAAATAAAATGTGCTGTTACACACAGGGCCATATTATTCAGCCATAAAAAGGAAAGAAAAACTGACACATGCTACAACATGGATGAACCTTGAAAACATTATGCTAAGTGACAGAAGCCAGACACAAAAGGCCACAAAGTCTATGATTCTACTTAAATGAAATGTCAAGAATAGGCAAATCATAGAGACAAAGTAGGGTTGTAGTTGCCAGGACCTGAGAGGATGGGGAAGTGACTGCTCGTGGGCACAAGGTTTCTTCTGAGGTTAGGAAAATGTTCTAAAACTGATGGTGGTGATGGTTGCACAACTCTGTGAAGACACTGAAGAGCCGTTCACTTGAATATTTATATGGGTGAATTTTGTGGTATTTGAATTATATCTCAATGAAGCTCTTACGAAAATAGTCTAACCAGCTATGGGATTAAGGTATGAGAAATAATTAGTGAAATAAAAATGATCCATAATTATTGTTTGGATAAAGGAAATCTAGAAAATGAATCAGTGTCTTGAGATGCACTGTTTTTGGTTGTGCGTGTTCCTGAGCATTCCATGCACTTTCCCATTCCCTTGGAGGATGGGAGCCCAGTCCTTGCAGAGGCAGACCAGGGTGAGGGATGCACCCCTGTCCCCGGCTTGGGAATCAGGCCAGCCTCTGGGGCCCAGATGGGTCCTTTTACTCTTGGGTATTCTGGAACCCAGTCATAGAATGCCACTGTGGGTGGCATGTGTCAAGGGCATGCTGTATTCCTGGCTGAGTTCTGGGGGGATTTGATCCGGGAGGCTCATGGGACACGCTTCTTTGTTGCAGATTGAAGAAGGAAGTAAAGCCGCGGCGGTGGACAAGTTACTGGCCGGAGACGAGATCGTCGGCATCAACGACATTGGTCTCTCGGGGTTTAGACAGGAAGCGATTTGCCTGGTGAAGGGGTCCCATAAGACCCTGAAGCTGGTGGTAAAAAGGTAAGACCTGTGCACCGTGCTGTGTTTACCAGGACACACAGAAGTGAGTAGAACAGCAAAATGTGACGTCTGGTTGGCTTGTCTGTATCATTTCTGCAGTCCTGATTTGGACTTAAGTCCAGTGTGTCTCTGTACATGGTGTGCATCGGTCATGTAGAATTATATCTCTTGGCCAAGGATGAATACGGCATCAAAAATTTAAAAGATTCCTTCTTTTATTACTACTGATTGTTTATTTTGATTTATTAAGTGAACTTTGAATACTCATCTTTCCTTTGGCACTACGGACATTATTCTCTTGGCAGAGAGAAAACTGTGCTCATGTTCCAAATGCAGTGAAAATGTCATTGCTTCTTGTTTACACCAGGTGGCAGGCTAGTGCGTTTTTGGTTTTTATGCTAAAATAGTGTGACTGCACGTAGACACAAAAGTCAGCAAGTAGACACAAAAGTCAGCAATCGGGGCTTCTGGGGCTGTGCTGAGGTCTGAGGAGAGTGAGCTGCCTATTCCTAGAAATGAGATTGCCGATAGAGGTTGGGGTGATTTGAAGAGGTTAGAGAGCAAAACTAGGCACGTGATGCTTTTAGACACAGGAGCTAGGACAGTCCTCCTGGATACCACAAAGATGTTTGTGATTTGTTGTTTTCACGTAGAAATAATTCTCTGCCTCGCGTTTTGTTGTTGGTTAATTCACAGTAAAATGTTGATATGCCCTTTTTAGCAGAATTAGTGCAATCTTTCCAAGGTTGGCTGTAAATTTTTAAAAATAACTTGACTCAAGCACTTGCTTCAATTTTTAGTACAGACTTGAAGACATGGCCCAAAAAAACTTTATTTATTTATTTTTTTGACCAAAACAGTATCCAAGGAGGAGGTTCAGAAATGAGGAAGGAAAAACTTGTATTCTTTGCCACATTAATTGCCACTCATTTCTAAGTGGTATAGGCTAGCTTATAAATCAGAAAAACAAAATCTCAGAATGGCAGTCTCAGAGCCCTTTGGGGAGGATGGGGCGTGAGACGTGCTGTCATATTGTATGATTATTCCCTTGTGGTCACCTTATCAACCCTCCTGAGGGGTCTGGGATGTGTGTTGTCACAGGATTCAGTTAGACTTAGCCCAGTGTTGGTGATGGTAAGGGAAGCTTGATCCGCAGAGGTAAGAAGGGAGTTACAGACTGTCTCTGGGAATCATCACCCAGCCCCCAGGCTGATCGGGGTTCCCTCCTCTTCTGTTACCCGTATTGTCTCTGTGGTACAGCTACCAGAGCCCCCGAAACAATGAGCTGGCTCGTTGGCTTACCGCCCGTCTCTTCTGTGGGGTAAGCACCACTTAGTCAACACTGTAGGCGAACTCTGTCTTAACCAGGCTGCTTACTGTAGTGTCTGGTGCACAACGGCAAATGAGGGATTTGGGTTTATTGAATCAAACTGACTTGAACTGCACCTGGATGGGCATCGTTGGAAGATCTGATGAGGATGCCGACACTGAGGCGCTCATTCATAAAATCCCCACACAGCCCTATGGAGGCAGCAGCAGATGAAACAGACAGAGCCGTTGACATGTGTTGGGGGCCAGAGTCAGGATGCAACAACATGTTCACTGGCTGCACCTAACAAGATAAAGTGAAATGTTTGTTCAAGTCAGGTCTTAGTCTAGGTTCCAAAAAGCAGGTGTATAGTAACAGAGCTGGTTTAGCGGTAACACATGTAAAGAAGGGAATTTGTACCCCAGTAGAAAGTTGGATGAAAGGCTCAAATAGGCAGTTCATAAAATAAGAAGTGCAAATAGGAAAGAAGCATATAAAAAGATGTTTAACTAGGACCTGCAAGTTTATTTAAAAGCGAGACACTAGGTTTTGACTATCAAGTTGGCAGAGATCTGAGAGGAGAGCAGTGCCCATAGCTGGTGAGACTGCGGGGAGATAAGTATTATTTGGTATAATGCAGGTTAGACTACAAATTGGTTTTCCTGGTGAGCAGTTTGGCAACGTGTTTCACAAGGACATACCTTGGACCAGGTTTCGTTTTCTGGGATCCTAGATGCTCAGCAAAGGGAAATAAATTATTGAAATGGATTAGCGACCTTGCATACTGTAGAGTGCTGCCATTACAGATGATACCAGCCTTTACTGACGTGGAAAGATGCCCCACAAAGTCCAGTTGACTGGAACACATGAAAGCAGTTATAGAATTGTGTGTCTCCCATTTTTTAAAAAATTTTGTTTTCGTTTTTAACTGTGGTAAAATACACGTAACAGAAAATTTACTGTCTTAACCATTTTTAAGTGTATGGTTCAGTAGTGTATTACTTTTATAATAAAATAATATTGAGCTCATTGTATTTTTAAAGAGGAGAAGTCTTTGGGGTTCGCTATACCCGCGTTCATAGGAGTCAGCAGGAAGTTTGGCCCGCAGGAAGCGGTCAGCTGTGGCATCACGTTCTGTTCTGGGCAGTGCCCCAAAGGAGAGTTGTTTATTGCACTGTGATGGAGACAAAAAGAATGACCCTAAGGGGGCGGTGTTGAAATGCTGGCTGTAATTTACTCTGAGGCTCACTTTTTATTCTGTATTTATTTTGTTCTTAAAGTAATACATGGGCGTGGTAAAACATCCATGTTCAAAAGAGAATTGGGTGGGATAGGTAAACCTCCCCTCTTACCCCCATTTTGTCTCATCTGAGAGCAGCTTTGTCACTACTAATCTCTGGGGTTTCCATTTAGAAGTGTATTCATGGTTGTGTATTTGCGTATATGTCTATGGAGATTGTTGCAGGTTGAATGCACTGAGGTCTGACTCATGATTTCTCTTAACGACCTCATGGTGCTCCGTAGTCTGGATATTCCACTGTTTAACGGATCCTCTGTGGATGGACATTTATGGTGCTTCCAGTGAGTTTCTGTAACAGACAGTGCTGCAGTGTGACATCTTTGTACCCAAGTCTGCATATTTGTGCATATAGATCATGAGGATAAATGCCTAGCACGGGAGTTTTTGAGTCAGAAATTGTGTGTGTTGTGAACGTTGATAGACACCTCCAAATTTCTCAGACCACTTGTTTTTTCACGTCATCTCTAGCAGAGGGTGTTTTCAGTTTGTTTTTGTTCTCTTTGTGAATGTGAAAGGTAGAAAATGGCTTTATTGCTTAAATGGGCATTTCTGTCATCATGAGTGAAACTGGGCATCATTCCCCGTGTTTCAAAGCTTTCTTTTGAGCTAGAGGAATGTATTTAGATGGTCTGAATTCTGTTCAAAGCAAAGTATCTATGCCACATGAGGGCTGGTCAGTAGAAGGAAAGAGAAGGCCGTGGGGGCCTGCTAGCTGATTGGGGATCTAAAAGACTCTTGGGAAGAGGGATCAGACTTTTGCCCTGAAGGATCAGTGGGAGCCACTGTGTAGAATCCTGGTTTTGCATTCTGCATACCCAGTTTCCTTTAAATGAGGGGTACACAGAACGACTGTCTGGTTGAGATGGAATTGAATATTTTAAGTAATATGGATAACAAGATATAAACGCAAACCAAGCAGTTTGTTCAGATGCTTTTTTTCCGAAAACACTATCAACACTTAGGTGTTTAAAAATTTTTTTAAATAATTTTCTATTAATTTTGAATATAATATGTAGGTATTATTTTTGCCTATTTGAAAAAGTCTGAAATGGTGCCGTGTTTAGAAATGTGAATGAAATTTTCCAAGCTGGTTGGTTAATATTAGGATCTGGGGCTGGCCCCGTGGCTCAGCAGTTAAGTGCTCGCACTCCCATGCTGGCGGCCCGGGTTCGGATCCCGGGCGCGAACCGACGCACCGCTTCTCCGGCCATGCTGAGGCCGCGTCCCACATACAGCAACTAGAAGGATGTGCAGCTATGACGTACAACTATCTACTGGGGCTTTGGGGGAAAAAAATAAATAAATAAAATTAAAAAAAAAAAATTAGGATCTGTTGCTATAATCCTGAAGATGCATATGATCCTTAAGGATCTCTAAAAGTCCAAACTAACTTTTTTATCATTTTCCTCATTACAAAGCCACCAACCAGTGAATGCTTTTAAAATTTCTCTTAGGTCAGTAACATGTGTTCTTCTCTGTCTAAATTTAAGTCTCTGCTTACATCTCAACATTCTCCTCTTTGTGCATCCCTAGGCAACCACTAATCTGACCTCTGTCTCATAGATTAGTTAGCGTTTTCCGTAGAGCTGCACAATGGGTCATATACTCTTGAAAAATAGTGGCTCGTTTAGAAAAAGTCGCTCTGTAAATAATTCATAGACCGAGCCACAAACACGCAAATATCCTACTTGAGAGTGTGGCCAAATGATAAATTGTCTTGCTCAACCCTTGTTCAACCTGATTCAGCTACCACCTGTCTACCTCAGGCGTCCTAAGAAAGGGTGGACTTTCTTTTTTTTTTTTTTTTGTGAGGAAGATCAGCCCTGAGCTAACATCCGTGCCAATCCTCCTCCTTTTGCTGAGGAAGACTGGCCCTGAGCTAACATCTGTTGCCAATCCTCCTCCTTTTTTTCCCTTTTTCTCCCCAAAGCCCCAGTAGATAGTTGTATGTCATAGTTGCACATCCTTCTAGTTGCTGTATGTGGGGCGCGGCCTCAGCATGGCCAGAGAAGCGGTGCGTCGGTGCGCACCCGGGATCCGAACCCGGGCCGCCAATTGCGGAGTGCACATACTTAATCGCTAAGCCACGGGGCTGGCTCCAAGGGTGGACTTTCTGATAAAGAATCAAATCAAGTTAGGGTCCTGGTGGTGAGAGTGACCAGTGCAGGTTTGGTTGTTCTGGGAGGTTATGGGGAAAGGGGGTGTATGCACCTCAATGTGTGATACGTACCCCTGGTTTTGTAAACAAAATGGGAATAGTGTTCACATACTAACTCCCTCCCGCTAGCGACAGCTGCTGTGTCTTTTATCCCGAAGGCTTGTTTTATTTTGGTGTGTGGTGGGCAGGGAACCGAGCAGCCAGGATAGGATTGCGGTGGGCTGGTTTTACAA